ATCGTTTGATGACTGCAACGGGAATAGCGTCCTGTGAGGCAGGAATAGGACACTCCGCAAATAATGCGCAGATATAACAGGCTTACCCAACCTGGCGCCCTCCAGATATTTTAAATTTGTTTGCATCAGTTTGTTTAAAATACTGCAGATTGATCACAGCCATTTTTTGTCATTTTCTTAAAAAAAAACAACTAAGCATTGCTAATAATAAAGTACCAATTCTTACATTATAGTGTGAGATAAGGGTTACCTACTGTTCCGGTGGAAAGGGTGCTTCTAGTGTGGTCCATTCAGCTAGCTGCTTGTTAGAGGAATCAAGAAATGTGTGAACCCGGATCCGTCTATGTATGTAAACAGTTATCAGCATTAGCTCAAACTGAACAGTTACCATTCTAGGCACACGTAACAGTACTTTGCATCTGCACCTATGAATTGAATAAAATTAGGACGACAAATAAGAATAGTAATCATCATTCATAATTATATGATTTGGCTATAATGGCTAGGTTTGCAAATTATGTCCAGTCACAGCAACATACTTTTATAATAAATTGCTCTGCGCCATTAACTTTTATAGACAAGAAATCAAGGAGGAAGACGTAAAATCAGTTATGGTCCATTGGGCCCAGGACATTGGACACACACACACACACACACACACACACACACACACACGAAAGGCTTTGGAGAGAAAACATAATGAAAATGCTGTACCGATGGTATCTGACCCCGGCCAAACTGGCCAAGATGTAGAAGAAAAGCTCCGACGTTTGCTGGAGATGCAAAAAAGCGGTTGCAAATGTGATGGGGACTGTGTGAAGATAAGAACATTTTGGGACATAAAATACAATGAACTCAAAAAGATCTTTAAATTTTCGTTTTTAAAAAAACACCCTGAAGCCTTTTTTGTTAGGCATTATGTCCATTGATATACAACCCCCCACCCCAGAACCCTCCTTATGTGCGCAACCACAGCGGCGAGGATTTTAATAGCAAAAAATTGGAAATGTGATGTAATCCCCGCAATAGCTGATTGGCAAACAAAGAAGATAGAATATTCAGAACTTGCAAGGATGACTGGGAGAATAAGGGGAAACTCTAACCAGAAATTTAGTAAAGATTGGATAATGTTCAAAGAATATCTTTAAAAGTACTGTAATAACACAAATCTCCTGACAGATTCGAATTGAATCCTGAAGTTCAAGGAAATTATAGAGTAAAATTCCCCACCCCTGATAATTAACTGAGAAGCATAATAAATATGAAGTGCGTATACACTAGTAAGGTATAAAAAGCACAATGAGGTGAATCGGAAGTTAAAGGGTATGTAATGTCGGGTGAGGTGTTCTATGTAAATTGTTTTGTAATAAAGCATCTTCTTAAAACGAAAAAAAAAACTTGTATAGATACAAACCACACTCATCTAATAATGTTATACGCCTGTACTTATTTATTTTTAACTTGCTGATAAAGCCTGCAGTCCAGATCCACTTAACTGCAAACAAGTTCACTTGAAAGATAGAGGTCTCACTTCTGAGCAGGCATATATAAATCCATATTTGTATGCACATGTGAGCCGTAGCGGGAATTTACGCCAGCAACACAGGCTGTGTACACGTTACTGCTTACTGTGGCTCCAGTGCGCTCCCGCTGCTGTTGTTGTTTAAAGTCTAATGCACACGGCATTAGCCACAATCCATAAGTATACTGTAGTTTATTTCAAAATACTCCTCTTTGATACGCTTTCCCTCAAACCATTTTCCATCAGATCCCACCAGTTTTTAAGCTGCGATGTGTACCTTCGAGACCGGCTTTGCCACGTGCGAGGGAGAAAGTTTCGTTGAGTGGGAGTTTGATGCAGGAAAACAAATCCAGTAATGTACACTGTGTGAAGACATCCCCGCTCCCTCTTTGGTGTCCCCAATGGGGTTGCCGCCGGATGCAGAGTTGCCCTGTATTTAAATGTGAAATGCTACGTCCCTTAGTCTGATACAGTTTTGTCCTGCATTTCTGGTCTCCTCTATGTTTCTCTTTCTCTCTCTGCCAGGTTAGGGACGTGTGTTTGAAAGGGTGTGGGAAAGGACATGTCTTTAAGCTCTGGGTACCCAGGGACAGGCAGATGTACAAATTCAGGTGTAAGCGTGCGCCCAGGTGTGCAGCGAGTTCCAGAGGGGCTATCTTGCTGGGCGGCAAATAGGTTGTAACGGATTTCTTCAGCACCAGATGAAAATGAAAACGAAAATCGCCCCCACTTCGCCCCGTATCATGCCAGAACAAAGGTTGCACCCCTAGTACAGCTTTGTTTAAAAACAAAACAAAAACCCCATATGAAGCGCAGTGTGTGGAACCTTGCAGCATTTTAAGTCGCTAACGAGCGTGTAGCTTTATTTATTCATTTATTTGTATATAGAATTATGTTCCTCTTTGTACCAGCCTGGGCAATGGCGGAAATGTAAATCCTCCTCGGTTTAATTAATTTATTATTCTGAACCTGTTTGCTCACAATGTGGCTGCTCTAGACGACCCCAGGTTCAGTCCCTGGGAATCTGCGGGTAGAATTGGGCGAGGCACTGCCATTCCCCTCCCCACCCGCCCTTCAAAAATGGCGCCGAACGCCAAGGAAAGTGGTGAGGCGGGAGGCGCGCAAAGCAGGGAAGGCTGCTCTCGAGTAGACTCTGAGAAAGGTCTTCTTTCTCCCTCTTCACGCCGCGCCTCTTGCAAAGTTTCTTGTTGTGTCTGGAGGCCGGTTGAATCAGGCACGACCCCTTTCTATTAGTAACAAATTTACCCGGGACTAGCCTGGTTCCCCCCCCCGCACCCCAGTCCACTGTATACTGATGCTAAGCCGCCTGGGCACCCGCTCCCTCAAGGCTTGCAATTTGCCCTTAACCTGTAATCGGGATGTATGGCATTTCTACATAGCCAAGAAAATGCTTAAGAGTTTACAAAGCGACAAGTGGGGAAGGAAACTTAATTGCAATTTGTGCTCGGTAGTGGAATTGTCCCCTGCTTGCAACTAGCTATCGGAAATGGACAGTAAAGGAATGCAAAATCTAACACGCATTGTTTCTTGCACTTAAATGATAGTTGCAAAGACCTGCATCTGCTTAAAGTACGTTGGAATGCAGGTCGCTAAACCTTCCATTCCCGGGGAACGTTCTATTACAAAAACTATTGCAAAAAAAGGTTGCCCATCTTGGGTCCAGAAGACCCAAAATGGGCAACCTGTTGTCTCATTAGTTTTTTAAATTAAAAAACGCAGTTAATTAAAATACATAGCATTCTAGTTTACTAAGCAGATAATTGTAAAGAAGTGAATTAGTCATAGTTAGGTGAACCAATATTTTTTTTTTATTTTTTCCCCCATCAATGCAGTTGCACCCAGTGCAAAATAGTAATAGATATGCAAGATATGCAACAACCCCAAACTCCAAAGTCAAACCCCAAACTCTGCAGATAATAAACTCTCCCTTTCTTCTCCTGTAGGTGAGCACTAATTGTGCTAACAATGCAGTAAGCCAAACATTCAAAGCTCATAGAATTTGTCAGCAGGAATTATAGTAATGTCACTGCATATGTCCTCTTGCTTCATGTCAATAGCTCGCATATTTGCAAGCTCCAACAAACAGTAGAATGTTCCTCCTACATCCTTGCAGCCCATATTATATGTTAGTTCAAAAAAGCTGACGGTTTTATTTCCAGTTGTGGCAACTTTCTTCTGAAGAACACGGAGCACTTGCTGAGGGGTCTTGTTCCATTTGTGTTCCTCTTCTTCTTCATCCTCGGTTGGTTGAATTTCCCCCATTTCACTTAAGAGCTGCGGCTCTGGAGTTGTCTGCAATGGCACCAAAGTCTTCATCCTCGCTTCTACAGCAGCAACTGCTTGCTCCACATTGCACGGAGGTGAGGCTTTGGAAGGGGCTTCCTGGTAGCTACAGGAGGGCTGCTCCTCATCTGGCACTTCTCGATTTGTCTTTCTCACTTTCTTTTTCGGTTCGGAGGATGGAAGCATTTCGGTACTCTTGAAACCCTTTGTCACACTCGGCTCGCCTCCTGCCCTCTTTTTGGTAGTTGCTGCTGCTGCTGCCGCCGCCTCCTCCTCTGGAGCCACAGTTGGTTTATCCGCAGGTGACGGAGGGAGGTCCACCATGGCCACTTCACTTGCCAAAGGAGCAGCTCCTTCAGCATCCAACATGCTTCCTTCGTCTTCGTCAAAAAGCCCTGCAAAGGGGATCAAGCCATGGTCGCCCTCTCCGAAAATGTCACTCAAGTCGTCCTCACAGTCCATGAGGGAACTTTCATCTCTCGGGTTGACGATAAAGCAGTCTATGATGCTGTCGTCTCTCATTAACTCGTTGATAGTTCCCATATCAACACCAAATATATTTCCCTCATACACAGGGATGTTCTCCGTGTTCTCTTCCATCGTAACGCTGCTTTGGTGCCAGCAACGGCGCCTCAAATTTGGAGATTTCTGATAAGGTGGTAGCGTTGTATCTCTGTCCCAAGGCTACCCAGCGCGTTATGAGCCTCTTCAACAAAGCACGTAGCCTTTTTATTGCAAACCTGAGTAGCGCCCAGCAACAGCTGTGCTGAAGCCTCCAAACCAGGAGAGATAATTTGTTTCCCACGCCTCTCCTGTTTGCAGTCGCCTGCAGCTAGCCAGACCGAGGCTAGTGCCCTCTTATTTTTTACAATAAATTGGGCATCGGTGGCTCTAAATTTGCAGCCGTCTAGTCCTTCAAATACTCTCGCGGAAACCATGCTCCCAACAATTTCGCTCTATTTTTTAAAACTCTAGTTTCAACGCCCACTTGAGCTCGCTACACCCCTTGCTATTGCCCGCCTCCACGGCAGGGGGCGCTGCAGGGAGAGAGAGCGAGAGAGGGGGGAAGACTGGCTTTCTTCTTTCTCCCCCTCTCCCCCCTCCTAGGCAGGCGCGCGGCTCAGCATACAGACTTGCCTCTCGGAGGAAGCTGGCCATAGAGGCTTCCGGTCCAAGCGGCCGCTGGATCTCTGACAGGAGGCTCCGTTTGGAAGCCGGCAGTGATCGCGGAGGAGAATCGCTTTCTTTCCCGTTATGGCGGCTCGGCCGAGCCTTCCCGTCGCGGGGCCCGTGGGCGCCTGAGGGACGCGTAAGCCCCGCCGCCTCCGCCATGGCCGGCGAGGAGCCGCAGAAGTTCCTGGCCCCCGACGAGCCCAGCGCCCTCCTCTTCTCCGCGCCGCCCCGCGCGCACGGCGCCGGCGGCCTCGGCTTGTGCGATGAGGGGTCCGCCTGCCTGGACGTCAGCGACTTCGGCTGTCACCTCTCGTCCTGCCACCGCACGGACCCTCTGCGCCGCCTCCACGCCCACAGGCGAGAACGGGATGGGGGGGGGCGCGAAGAGTGTGGGGGGAGCGTGTCTCAGGTGGTCTTGTGGGCCCCCGATGGAGCGGCGGCCCCGTCCCCCGCCTACCTCGCAGGGTTCTTGTGGAGGCTGGGAAGAAATGGAGTGGGAGAGCCGTGGGAGTTCGAAGGGACCCCAAAGGGCCGTCGACATGGGTGTGAGGGGCTGCGGATCATTCTCGCCCCGAATAGTTTCTCTCTCTCCCCCCCCCCCCCAGCTTTAAAAGCCTCTTAACTGCGTGGGAAGCTGTGGGGGGAAAGTTAGACGTTTCCTTGTGGGAAGCCCGAATTCCTATTGTAACACCTTTCCTATCTGAAAGAATGAATCGAGGGGGTTATCTTTTCATATCTTCTTCTGCTTCAACATCTAAAGGGCCTCAATAATAATAATAATAATAATAATAATAATAATAATAATAATAATAATAATAATAATAATAATTCTGTAGTATTTAATAATGCAACATTTTCAGTAGAAGCCCCTATTTTTGTTTTTATTGATTTCCCATTGGGAAGAATGCAGGTAGGAGAATTCTCTCCACGGGATATTTAAATCCTGCACCCAAAAAGTCTCAGAGCAACACAAATTAATGGCGAGAGGCGGTGGGGGGATTGGTACCAGTCGCATCCGCATTGTGCATTGAAAAGCACATGGTGTTTGGGTACAAGGAGGCTAAGAAGACTGCTGTGGGTGAGGGGACTGTATGGGCTTTTAAAAAAGGTTTTCTTAATAAAACTAAGGAGAGACGGGACTAAATACTAACATATTGGCTTCAATACATTGATGTGGTTGAGGCTGAGTAGAAGCTAGGTAGGTTTGCCACTTCTTTTTTTAATAACCTGCTTGGCACGCAGAAAATTAATAGGCAGAGCTGTTCCCATTGCTGATCTATCTGTGCAAGGGAAGGTGTCACTTGTTCAGTTTTTTTATTTGCAGTGCTGCTGTTCAGGGCAGAGGAGCAGGGCCAGAAGAGAAGGTGGCAACCCTTGCAGTGGGTAGAGATGGCAGCTTCTTTTCTAGCAGGGCTCCTGTGCCCTTAACATATTCCCATGGAAGCCTTTTACACTGTTAATATTTGCACACTAAACAAGTTTCTGTGCCATTAATGTTTCCTGACAAGCAGAAATTCAAGAAGTTCATTTCTTTTTTTCTTTTTTTTTTTGTAGCAGAGAGAAGCCTGCCCTGTCTTGTATCTGCCTGTCATGTACAGGTGAAACTCGAAAAATTAGAATATCATAGAAAAGTTCATTTATTTCAGTAATTCAACTTAAAAAGTGAAACTAATATAGGAGATAGACTCATGACATGCAAAGCGAGATATGTCAAGCCTTTATTTGTTATAATTGTGATGATCATGGCATACAGCTGATGAAGAAAACCCCAAATTAACAATCTCAGAAAATTAGACTATTAAATGCTTTGCATGTCATGAGTCTATCTCCTATATTAGTTTCACCTTTTAAGTTGAATTACTGAAATAAATGAACTTTTCCATGATATTCTAATTTTTTGAGTTCCACCTGTAGGTACAGAACCCCTGATAGAGAAAATAAACAATGGTAAACTTAAGAAGGGTTCATGGCGGTCATAGAAATCAGTGGGACATTATTCCTCCTTTTTTGCCTGTTGGATCCCTGAAGTAGTTTGAAACACACAAATTGCAAGATAAATACTTATAAGAATAAAGCATTATACAATACTCGGGAATTTGCTTGGAGGGGGGGTTGTTCTTTTTTTTGTATCTTTATTTTAGGTCTGATTATGATTTATGTGGAAAATTTTCAATTTGGTCATGTAATTTTGATGTTTTATTGTTTATGACCACTTTTCTTTGTAGTTGAGCATCCCCCCCCCCATTTTGCAAGCCACCATGAGCATGGTTTGAATTATGGAAAGGCTGCATACATATAAAATGGTGTATGAATGTAAACAATTTCAATTTACAGTTATTAACACATCTGGATGCAGCAGCATATTGAAACCGAAAGTTTTGTCTGTGAAGTTCATTTGAAAAAGAGGTGCATTTACTTCTTTTCTGAAGCCTAGAAAGCTGCTAAGCTTGTGGACTTCTGATGGGATAATGGAGTTTATAGATGGGGTACCATTGCTTAAGAAATATTAACTAGGGGTCTAACTTAGGGCTTATTTTGTCATCCTTCGAGGCCATTGTCTGGCTCACTGTGAGCTGAACATGAACAATCCCTAATCTGCCATGTACCCTTTGTTGCCCCATAACTGGTGCATATTTTGAATGGCTGCTTTGAAGCTCGATGCAAGACATGGGGGACACAACTTGCTTACTGCATGTTATTGTGCACTCAAGTTCTTAAGCAGAAACCTGTCAACAGCTGTTCATCCTGGTGCTTAGGTTAGCTGGCTTTTAATTCCAAGTAAGCTAGCAACATTGAATGTTACTGAAATACTAATGTCAAATGTGACTGCCATTCTGTTTTGCAGGTGGAACTTGACTTCATGTGGCACGAGTGTAGCCAGCTCTGAATGCAGTGAAGAACTGTTTTCATCTGTCTCTGTCGGTGACCAGGATGACTGCTTCTCACTTTTGGATGATCAGGACCTGACATCTTTTGATTTGTTCCCGGAGGGTAGTGTCTGCAGTGATGTCTCTTCTTCCATTAGTACATATTGGGACTGGTCAGACAGTGAATTTGAATGGCAGGTAAAAATGCTTTTATAGGCTGTCCCATGCATTCAAAAAATCAAACCAAACCTTTATTGCATTAGCATACATCCATAGCAAAATAAGACAATACAAAAAAAAAAAAGACAAACTAGAGACAAGCAACCAAGCAAAATTCAGGCGATTTTGCTGGCGTAGTGAAATTTACGTTACCCGAAGACAATAATGCAAAGATATAGTAGCCAGCGCCAAAAACTAATATGCGGATATATATAAAGCACAAAATGGCCCCAGAACAGACTCAGCACATTGAGTTAAAAGTAATAAAAGAATTAAAACAGGTCCAGGTCTAGGGCACGCTACCCTGTCAGAGTAGCCCTGAGTTTCAGAGCCTGCACTATGAAGATTGCCACCCCACGTGAAATTTGGGGATTTGCGTCCACAAGAAGTGATTTCAAACAGTCTTCCTTAGATGTAATGGTGGACGGGATCAAAAGGAGGAGCTTAGATCTTATTGGCTCATAAAAAGGGCAGTAGAAAAAGAAATGTATGAAGTCCTCTACTTCATTCATTGTGCATGGACATAGACGCTGGGTAATAGGGGTCTTAGAGTAAATCTCCTGCAGGAAGGCCGTGGGTATAGAATGGAAGCGGGCCATAGTAAACGCTCTTCTCAAATTGGGCTCCGTCAGGTCTATCAAGTAGTTGGCAAGTGATCTTACCACTTTCACTTTAGGGAGCCACATGGAGAGGCGAGCTGAGGTGGACTGTGCCCGGTCCATGGCCTCGTCTCTTGTAAGAATCCAGGCCCGGATTTTATGTTTGTCCCAAGAGGACAGCGAGTCAAGATCTGGGAGAGAGTAGCGTGCAGTAATAGTCACCATGGCCTTGGACCATTTATTGCTTTGAGAACACGTTAAAAAGGCTTGCCTGGCTAGTAGGGAACCTGGGGCATTGATTAATTTACAATAAAAGCTAATAATTCTAATGTGGGCTCTCGCAACAATGGAGGGGAGGCCCAGTTCTGTTCTTAACTGTGCTACAACCGAGCCCTTGGGGAGACCCAGTATCTTCCGTGCAAAAGAGTTTTGTAGAATCTCCAGCCGTTGTAGTGTTTTTAAATTCCACCCCCAGATTTCAACCCCATACAGTAACATCGGGAGGACTTTGCTGATAAATGCTTTTCTGATTGGTGGAACCAGCTGGCCGCCTTTTGCATAGTAGAATTTCTCCAAGGCTTTGATGGTTCTGCGGGCAGCCAGGATGGTTGTATTTAGGTGAGCAGACCAGCTAAGCCCATGCTGAAAAGTGATACCCAAATACTTGAATGTTGAACAATATTCAATAGAATGGCCCTCAAAATTCCAGAGTGACTTCCGAGTTTTCGTGCCAAAAGTAAGAATTTTGGTTTTGGCGAAATTAATTTTAAGGGAGTTGGTATCACAATATGTCATGAGCCCTCTGAGCGTGTTGTTTAAGCCCAGCTTGGTTAATGACAGTAGCACCATGTCGTCCGCATAGAGTAATATGGGGATCTTGAGCTGTTGTAAGGAGGGGGCAGATTGATTTAGGGCCTTCATAGTTGTAACGATGTCATTGATATAGAAATTGAACAGAAAAGGGGCCAAGAGGCAACCCTGTTTGACCCCTTTATTCAGAGGGAAAGAATCAGACAGAGCTCCCAGAGGGCCGAATTTTACTCTGGCCGATATGTCATTATGAATTTCCATAAGAAGGAGGAGGAGTCTCTTATCTATGTTGGTGTAACTAAGCTTCTGCCATAGCCTATCTCTGGGAATGGAGTCAAAGGCGGAGGTCAGGTCCACAAAAGCCGCGTGTAGTTTGCAGTTGAACCTGTTTAGGTATTTATCAATCAGGGTAAGTAGAACAAGACATTGGCCAGATGTGCTGTGACCTTTACGGAAGCCAGCCTGTTCCGGATGGAATAGCTTTGTTTCTTCTGCCCACTCGATTAATTTCTCTAGCAAGAATCTAGAGTAAATCTTGTATGAAATGTCCAACAGGCTGATAGGTCGGTAGTTATGCGGATCTTGTGGGTCCCCCTTTTTATGTATTGGGATGACTATGCTCTGTTTCCAGTTAGGTGGAATCTTAAGAGTAGCATTAATGGTGGTAAAGAGAGATGCTAAGATAGGGGCCCACCACGACTGGTTCGATAAGAATACCTCAGGTGGTATCATATCCTCCCCCGGGGATTTGTCCCATGCATTAATAAACTGCCGTGGTCTGTATAACAACATTGAAAGCACTGTGTTTCCAGCTAGACAGTAGCCATAAGTCAATGCTACTTTTCCTAACACAGTTGGCTCCCATGTAGGTGTGTTTAGGATTGAAGCCTTAATTTTCCGTATTTAATTCTAGTGTTTTAGTTTGTTGCTGAATGTTAGACTGCATTGCTTCATTCTGAAATTGATCGGATATATGTATTTTTTTGTCTATAAGTTGCCTGGCAGTGACATTGCAAGTGGAAGTGATGTGCTTTCTGACATCATACCCAGTATATCAAGCTCTCCCTGCATGCTCCCAAAAAAGAAAAACAAGCACAGGAATCTTGATGAGCTTCCATGGAGTGCAATGACTAACGATGAACAGGTAAAACCTTTTTCCATTTGGAGACTGCATGCTCGTAAACAAATTTTTAAGGGCTAAATTATTCATAGCAGATAAAACTCTGGTTTGTAACAGTAAGTGCTAATTCTCTTAATTAAGTTTTATTTTTCTGTGGTGTTCAAGGTATCTTGAATTGTGAAAGAGCTGACATTTATACCCTGCCTCCATCTAATAAAAATGTTTTAAAGCCCCCCAAAGGCCATCCATAATAGACTAAATAGAGGATAAAGCATAACTAGCAGATAGCAACTGGTAGGAAAGTATTGGGGAGGATAGACAGTAAGGCTTGGCTTGTTGTCTAAAGAGAGCAGAGATGATGCTACCCAAATTTCTCTGAGGAGGGCAATCCAAAGGCAGGAGGCTTCAACCAAGAAATCCCTGTCCTCCTCTCACAACACATCTCCCCTTGAATGTGGGATTCTCAGTGAACATTATTGGTAACTAACTACCTGTTCCATTATTTTGTTATTGTTATTTGACTGTTGTTAGCCGCCCTGAGCCCGGCTCGGCTGGGGAGGGCGGGATATAAATAAAATTTATTATTATTATTATTATTATTATTTTCTTAGGTGGAATATATTGAATACCTGAGTCGTAAAGTCAGCATGGAGATGGGGCTTCGAGAGCAGCTTGACATCATTAAAATTATTGATCCCACAGCTCAGATTTCTCCTACAGACAATGAGTTTATTATCGAACTAAATTGCCTCACTGATGAAAAGCTGAAACAGGTATGTGAAACTGAGCTTGAGATTCTTTTTAAACCAACTGTTTGTCTTATTCTGGTATGCATGATCTTGCTGCATACTTCTATAAACAGTAACAGTTAGTTGTTAATTTAAGGGCAACTGAAAGACTTAATGCATTTTATTTTGGAATGAGCTGTCATAAGGTAGAGCCCTCTTTGTTGGGCCCCTCAAGAGTAAGAATACATACTTCTACAATTGTGTCAGGGTTGTTCCATCCCTTTCGTTCTCCATCAGATTTTTGTTGTTACTCATATGTGTTTCATATGTGTTAACTTGAAAATATTTCCACCATACCTTACTTAATAAAGAGATACTTATGGAAGGTAGTGGCCTGTGGATATCCTCGTCTATCAGCATACTCTCTGGAGATGGGGATCCTTGAATATCCTGGTCCCAGGCTACTTAGGGCATTAAAGTATATTGAAAAGGAGGGAAAGTCATTGGTGTTGGTGGGTGAGCATCTACTCTTGGGTTTTCCTTTCTTTCTACAGCAGAGTTCTTTTTACAGAAAACTTTTCCTGCGTCTTTTACTTCTTTACAGCAGCAGCATTGCAGCTCCTAGTGAAATTCCCATTACAGGAATAAACACCGTTTGGTTCTGTTTCTCAGAGCCTTTATTGTTTACAAAACTTTACACTGGTCATTTAATAGAGAAAACAAATAAAGCAACATAATCTTTTTCTCTTTTAGCCAGAGAATCCTGGGAACTCTGGGGTGTTGTTTTTTAATGGTGCCGAGAATTATTTGGGGATTCCTGTTCCCCTCATAGAGCTGTAATTCCCAGACTTTCTTGGGGAGAGAGATTGATTGCTTAACCACGTAGAAATTTTAGTTCTGTGAGGGGAACAGTAGTTTTCCTAATAATTCTCAGCATCGTTAACTAACCACAGTGCTCAGGATTTTTTGGCCAGAAGCCATGATTAAATTGGTATAATAGTGCTTTGGATCGAAACAAAATAAAATAAAAAATCCTTTCAGTAGCACCATAAAGGTAAAGGTAAAGGTACCCCTGCCCGTATGGGCCAGTCTTGACAGACTCTAGGGTTGTGCGCTCATCTCACTCTAGAGGCCAGGAGCCAGCGCTGTCCGCAGACAATTCCGGGTCATGTGGCCAGCGTGACGAAGTTGCTCTGGCGAACCGGCACCAGAGCAGCACACGGAAACGCCGTTTACCTTCCCGCTATAAAGCGGTACCTATTTATCTACTTGCACTTAAGGGTGCTTTCGAACTGCTAGGTGGGCAGGAGCTGGGACCGAACGACGGGAGCTCACCCTGCCGCGGGGATTCAAACCGCCGACCATGCGATCGGCAAGTCCTAGGCGCTGAGGTTTTACCCACAGCGCCACCCGCGTCCCATCAGTAGCACCATAGAGACCAACTAAGTTTGTTATTGGTATGAGCTTTCGGGTGCATGCACACTTCAGCCCATACCAATAATAAACTTAGTTGGTCTCTAAGGTGCTACTGGAAGGAATTTTTTTATTTTGTTTCGACTACGGCAGACCAACACAGCTACCTACCTGTAACTAGTGCTTTGGATGTTATTGTGTGGATGTGGCCTCAGTCTTTTGAAGGCCAGGTGTATCCAAGCGCTTGCCACTTTGACTCTTCGCCTTGACTTCTTTCTTTGTGCGTTTAGGTCAGAAATTATATCAAGGAGCATGGCCCCCGGCAGCGGTCTGCAAGGGAGAACTGGAAGCGAAGCAGCTACAGTTGTGGCAGTGCCAGTGGAGTGAGCGGTGCCAGCGCCAGCAGCAGCAGCGCCAGCATGGTCAGCTCAGCGAGCAGTAGCGGTTCCAGCATTGGCAACTCTGGTTCAAACTCCAGCGCCAACATGAGCCGGGCTCACAGCGACAGCAACTTATCTGCAAGTGCTGCAGAGCGAATCAGGGATTCAAAAGTAAAGCTTCAGATTCAGATGGACTTTTAAAAAACCTTATTAGTATACTTTGAATCATTACAGTTAAAATGTAAATGCATTTACATGTTGCAAAAGCTTGATGAATGTTATTTTTTGAGGATTCCGGAGAAAAGGGTAGCCCACCTTTCCTGTAGGTAACTTGCAGCTTAATGAGCTCTAACACTCTTTTATTTTGACATCAGATTTGAAAGTACGGAATAAGAGCTAAAACAGCTTAAACAAACAAGTTCAGTATTTGTTAGCACTGTGGACAATTGAACTTTGAAAGATTAGCACTTTCAGTATAGCACCATCAATTTCAATTACTCTTATTTCTTCATGAAAGCCATAGGATACTCCTGACCCCAAAGGGAAACTAGCTGTTAACTTTGGATTGTAGTCAAATAAAATGTCATTAAGATTTCTCTTTTTTGTTTTCTTTTTTAATTTTTATATCTATACAATCAAAGGTGAAGGAAAGCAGCCATTCCCAAGTCGAGTCACATTTTGAACCAAAGAAAGCAATGAATATGGTCTTATGTTGTTGTTAAATTTATAGCTCCAAAAAAGAAATTGTTGGTTTTTTGGATTTATATACCACCCTTCTTCCTCAAGATGCCCAGGGCAGGAAACAGATATGCAACTTAAAAAAAGAAAACAAAGCAAAAACATTCTAAAACAGTTTAAAACATTAGGAAACCAGTTACAGTTACATTATTCCATCCCATCATTACAGGATTGCCAGAAACAAATATTCTTCAGCCACCAAATGTCTGGGCAAACAGGAATGTTTTCAAATTCCTCCTGAAAATTAATAACGGTAGAGACAAATGTGCCTCACTAGGGAGGCATTCCAAAGCCAGGGAGCCACCACTGAAAAGGTCCTGTCACCCATCTTGCTATAAATCTGCTTTCCTGCAGATTTCTGTAAAGAGTCCTTTCTCATTGAACTTTGTGTAGGGAGGATAGAGTTGGCATATCTCTGTGGGTGGACCCTTCCAGCATCATCAGATTATTGCCGTATGTAACTGGATATTACGAGGCATGTAGAAGAGGGTTCCTTTCTTCCTCTTCCATCCCAGTATCTTCGTTAAAAGATGCTTACCTGAAAATACTAAATTAGTTTTGGCTGTATACACAACATCTGTTTAAAGCACATCTCCCCACCCTAGTTGGAACTGTGGTTTAGAGCTGTGATGCTCAGTATCCTTAACAAACTACAGTTCCCAGAATTCTTGGGGGAGGGGTGCTTTAAACGTATTGTGTGTACGAGGTCCTAGTTAAATATGTGTCTTGTTTTACAGCGGTGTGTACAGTTTTGTGTAGAGACTGGGATTGACTTTGGCCATTTCCTTTATTTTGACAGAAACGTTCTAAACAGCGCAAGCTTCAGCAAAAGGCTCTGCGCAAGAGACAACTGAAAGAGCAACGGCAGGCTCGAAAGGAGAGACTGAGTGGTTTGTTCCTTAATGAAGAGGTTCTTTCTTTAAAAGTCACTGAGGACGACCATGAAAGAGATGTGGATGTCTTGATGTGACAGGAGTGATTTTTTATTTTATTTTAAATCAGTGTTCTTTCTAAGCCTTAAGCCTATTATATTGTTTACATATACTTTTACCAAATTTTGATTGGAGCGGGGGCTAGTTAGCCTGTGTCCCTCATCTATAGTTTAAAAGCAAAAAAAAAAGGCATGTGATAAGAGATTAAGAGGATACTTTAAAAAAAGAAAAAGAAACTAAGGCTAATTTATTTTGCTTTCAAATATCTGTGAGTACTTTACTGAAAAGTTTGCTTTTTGTTTGTAATTCCGCCTTAACCAGATAGATATAATAGTTGTTCTTTGGGTAAGAGTATTTCCCCCTCTAGCTGCTTTTTGGCCTGAATGGCTTAATGTTATTTTCTTTAAAAAACAAAACAAAAAACTGCAACTCCATTAATAGTTACTGGGTGACATGTCCCAGTGGACGTGGCAGGATTGCTTTTCCTTCTCCTTCCCCCCGTGCCCTCCCCATCTGCTCTGAAGGATCCCTCAGTTTTTGCAGAGCAGATTTTGGGAATGTTGGGGAGGGCTACAAGGGCAAGTCCTGTTTGCACAAGCAAGACACTACAGTTTGACGTCGCACATTTTTGTTCCTACTGCAATCATATCAAGGCTTTAAGGCTACACAAAATCATTTTTAGATTTATTGAAATAATTATTATTTAATTTTTATTTTGCCCCATGCCCATAGAACTCAGGGCGGTTCGCAACATAAAATTACAATAAAAAAGGAATACATAATAAAAACAGAAACAAAGAAACCCCAATAATCCTCCCATGGCTTCATTTACTGCAGGGACTGGGGAACCTTTTAAGCCAAATGCACCCCATGACTAACGTATATGTGGCCCACAAGGGACTATTGAACCTGCGTTTCTGCTTGCCAGGGAATTCAAAACCAGGCAGGCAGAAAGTGCTTGCAAGTGCCTGTCAGGCCATGAAATATGGCTACATATAGCCGAGTGGGTCATTCATGGTGTGAAGGCCTGATGTGGTGTTACAAAGCAATAGGACAATCTGGTGAAGGAAACTTCTAGAAACAAATTCACATTTCCTCCCTCTAGATGCATGTGTGTATATGTTCCAAATCACTGTAGTGTCATGTGCCTTAAAATTTATTTGAGACCTTTAAAGTGAAGGTTTTGAGGAGAACATTGCAAAATTGAAATTAAGCAGATAACATTTTCCTGGTGTTTCAAAAAGATAATGTTTATTTCTCAAAGCCCTGTTCAGCTTTTTTGGGGGAAAAGGCAGCGGTTGAGAGATTTCCATCCTGACCTTATGTTTTTGCATAAAACCACATATTTCTTCATTCAGTTTCATGGTTAAAGTGATCTCATTTGGTTAATGTTTATGAGTGGTTTCATGACATTATTTGCTATAACAGAGTTAACCAGGTGTGTTTAAAAGACCCATTGCACATCTTCATTACTGCTGCCCCTACATTGTTTAGCTTTCATATTGTGAATCTGTCGGAGATGCACTAAATTCAGCGTTATGTGCATCCTCCGATACCAGCTAGGAAGCAGCTTCTTCCATTTCAGACTAACCTCTGTTTATTTCACTTGAAGTGTTACAAACTGGTTAGTGTAAGCTACTGTTTTTCTAAAGAAGCTAACTCAAAGGTTGGTTTCTCATCTTGGCTCTTTTGCATAAACCATGGTTAAAAGCAACCGTAGTTCCCAACTCAGGTGAAAGTGGCAAACTCTGGTTAGCTTAAAACTGAAGTGGATGTTGCTGATCTCTGTACGGCCACACAGGATAAAGAGATAGAAATGGGGAGCAGGTTCATGCATGTAATGCTAAGCTGTAGTTTAATGTTTCTGAATCACATCTAACTTTTAGGAACTGATGATACTGTGGGTGAATTTCAAGTAGTTACAAGTGTTGGACATTCACTAGATAAAGGGATTTCTGCTTTAAAAGTGGTTCTTAATGATGTGATACTCCTGGCTCTAATTCTAAAAAGTTTCTACTAAAATCTTGTTTCATTAGGCAATCACACATAACACACACACACACATACCCCTCCCCCAAAGCAGGAAACATTTGTTTTGAAGTAGCTCATAGCTCACAGGTAAAATACTTTGGAGTAAATAGGATAAGACCACAGCCAAAACTCATCATTATGACAATTTTTTTGAGTGTTTGATCTATTTTGCCTCCGTCCTAGATCTTGATTTTTGTAGCTGAATGGTTGCATAACACTTTATAGTTTCCCTTTAAACCCCCACCCCCATTAATCTCCATTTTATTGAGCACATAATGTACTGTGTTTAAGGTGTTTCTCTGTCTAAACTGAACACACTGGTCACTCAGTGAACATTCATTTTGAATTAAACTAGCATTGTAAGTGAAAATGAAACAATAGCTGAGCCCCCACCCCATTCATACACACTTGTTATAGAATGGAAGCAAGTTGGGGGGTCTGCTTGGTAGACTTTTGTCTGGGTCCTATTTATCTTGAATGCTTCACAAGATGCATAAATAATTTAACTAGTGCAAGTGAGCAAATACACAATTCACCTTCTTTGGAATTGCTGATCTCACAAAGCTTAGAAGGAGCACTGAAAACATGATTGGAAAAAAGTTGTTCTCTTAGCCTAATAAGATCTGTTTTACATCTTGTTCTTGCATCTGCATTGGTTTCATTTTCCGATAGAAATGTTTTGACTGAAATAAAGCAGTGACATTGTGTAAGGCAGGATATAGGATGCTATACCCTGGTTCTGTTCAAAATGTCGCTGAAGTTGGCGATCTCAACATTTAAGATGATCTTGTGTGTTCGCAATAAGTTTTGTTTTGTTTTTTCTGTATGTTGGTCAAAGAAAACCATAGAGAATTCTCACACAAATATACATCAGATATGTATATATGTACAAGTGTACAGCACTTGTAGAAAATCTTATAGGACATTAGCCAAATTTCTTACTAATGCTGAAAATAAAAGAACCTGTTAGTGCTCATATTTTCCCCACCCCCTTGGCACACCTGCCTTCTAAAATATTAGCATGCTGTGACTTTCTTCCTTTGTTGCAAACAGTTTTCCCAGTAGATCAGATTCTCATCACTTATCTGGAAACCTTAAACTTGTGGGTGACTAGCCTGTGGCCCTCCATATGCTGTTGGGCTGCAACTCCGCTGATCCCTCAGGCTGATGGGAGGTGAAGTCCAACCACATCTGGTGGATGTACAGTTTAGCCACTTCAACATGTTCCATCTTGGATCAGTGGTACTATACTCCCTGTGTCTTGCAGATTATTTTGGATATTATTTGTCATGTTGGCCAAAATCAGTGCAGCAGGGGGGCAATTAACATTATAACTTGAGCTCTTATCAGATCATGTGCATCATACTGGATCAGAATGCATTGGGTGTGTGTGATGGTTTGTGACCGGGGGGGGGGGGGGGAGAGATTAGAGAGATGCAGGGAGCATCAAATATGTTCAGAAACATGGTTGAGAGTTGCTTTGTAAGGGCCAATGGCATTGGCATTCTGAGGATGTGTGCTTCATAACCAAAGCAAAGAAGATGTTTACCTTTGGCAATATACTTCAGATGGTCTTAAATACAAATAGATATATAAAATCTGGACTATTTTCCAGGTTCTCTGCAAAAGTGTATTGTATGCTGAAATGCACATGTACATACAACTGTTTGCTGTACATTCTGTATCTGCTCACTATGATGTTTGTGGAAAACTCTGTTCTTTCTTTATTTTTTGATGTTGTGAAGGTTTTTCCCAATAGGATATTGTTTTACTTTTCTCCCCCCTAAGCCCTTAATTGTACTTTAAATTAGTGGATATGATAGTTTGGAATAATATTAAAAAGAAACATAATAATGCAACTACATGTGTTCAGTGCCATACTTGGATTGCTCCTACAGATAAATGGATTATGTGTACTATACGGTCACTGCATATGGTGCTTTGCAGAGTGAGTCAGGAAACACAGATAGATCCCTGTTCTCAAGAAGCTTACAACCTGATTCCTATCAAGTCAGACCACTGATTTACCAAGTTCAGTATCATCATGGACTGGTAGCAGCTTTACAGTGTTTCTGCAGCGCTCTTCCTATTGTCCTTAATTGCAACACCTTTTCCCAGGGACAGGGACTGGTGGAAATGACAGAATTGGTGTGTCAGCATGGGCCCCTCCTCAGCCTTGACATCTACCCAACAGCACCAACTACTTAATGCTGCCAGAAGGAATTTTAAAAAATGTGCTGTACAGTGGTACCTCGGGTTACATACGCTCAGGTTACAGACTCCGCTAACCCAGAAATAGTACCTTGGGTTAAGAACTTTGCTTCAGGATGAGAACAGAAATCATGCGCCAGCGGCACGGCAGCAGCGGGAGGCCCCATTAGCTAAAGTGGAAGCTCAGGTTAAGAACAGTTTCAGGTTAAGTACGGACCTCCGGAACGAATTAAGTACTTAACCTGAGGTACCACTGTACTGTTTTCCTCTTAATTTGCTTGCAAGCACCTTTAGTTTCCACTAGAGGGCATGCTGCAACCACACAAATAGTAAGCCCTTGGTTTAAAAAGCAAAAGTTATTGCTATGTATCAAGTAGGTACAGATAAAAAATTTCTGGAATGCAAAACCACTCAGAGCAGAATTTTAAACACATAAAAAGGTGTTTGCCTGTTTGCTTTCTCCATGAGAATGTTGAAGGTAAAGTAAATCAGTTTACATTAACAGATGATAAAATGTATATGTGATGGCTTTTGGGCTTGTGCACCCCCCACCCATCCCGGACATACTTGTGTGGACCATCCTTTAGATATCAAATGGTATGTGTATTAGCATAAGGATCCTTGGAAGATGATACTGGGCAGCTTCTGTAAGTAAAGGTTAAACAGTGTTTTTAAATATGTTCTAGCAAAATAAGATCATGCTCTACTGGTGGCATCTAATTAACATGCCAAATGTGACGTCTGAA